CACCCCAGAGAGAAAAATACAACACAGCCAATATTAAGCAATCCAAATCAATCCTTCTGCTGGTATTGTTGATAGTACAAAAGAAGGAAGTCTTAGCAGCACAGGATCTGGAGTGAGACTATTGGAATGCCAAGTAATCTAAAGCTCTCTGTGCCTCAGTTTCCTCATTTGTACATTTGGGATCATAAGATTGTTATTGGTATTTAATTAGTTACTAAATGTTACATGCTTAGAGTAAATCCTGGCACATAGTAAGCAATCAATAGAAATTCTCTGTGACACTCTCCATTGGCCTGAGCTCCAGCATTACAGTTTTCAGCTGTTCTCATACCACACTGCCCCTAACTCCTGCAGACACTTTCTCTGTGTCCCTGTTCCATTAGGTCAAAGTGGCATCAGATAATGTTGTAGAAGATGGGCGTCATATTGGAGGAAACGCCCCTACCGTAAACAGCTTCCCTTCTATTCTACGTAAGGTTAGTGTTATAATTTTTCAAAATATCTGCAAATTTCACTGAGAATGATCTTTTTTTTTTTTTTCTGAAGTAAATGCAATGGCTGTTACAGAATGAGATTCAGCGTCTGTTTTTTGGGGCCCCTAGGCACGGTGCACAGCTTTTGCCCAGCTGCCCTCAAACTTTCAGGAGTCTACCCTGTCTCACTTCGCTCTTCCAGACATGGCCCTGGGGCCAGAGCCTTGTTACCTCAGGTATTTTCCTTTAATCAATTTCCTGTTGTCCTTTCCAAGGGGCCCCGGGGCTCATTTCAGGTTGTCTCTGGAAAATCAGAAGATTGGGTCATTGTTTAAGCTATGCTGTCTGAGAGACCAATGGGCTGGGGCCTTCGGAGACTGATCCTTACTGTTCCTTTGGGTTTACATCTAACCCCATGGGTTTCATTCAGATTGTTGGCTTGATCTCAGTGGTAAGCACTTGCATTTTTGACCTCTACATAGGCTAAAAACTATAGCAGCCCAGTGCTCAGGTTGAGCAAAAGGGAAAAATAGGATCTGTTTATGGTTTCTCTCTGGCAGTGCCTTAGGACTGGAGTGTGGTAAATTCTGGAAGGTGTTGGAAGTTGAACTAGCAAGGGCTGAGGGGAGATGAATGAGGCATTGATAGCATCTGTATTGGTTCACCCTGGCTCATATCCACTCACATCCCATTTAGGTTGAATCTGTTTTGCCACTGATTTAAAAAAAATTTTTTTTTATTAATATGTAATGTACTATTTGTTTCAGGGGTACAGGTCTGTGATTCATCATCAGTCTTACACAATTCACAGCACTCACCATAGTAGCTACCCTCCCCAATGTCCATCACCCAGCCACCCCATCCTTCTCAACCCCCTCCACTCCAGCAACCCTCAGTTTGTTTCCTGAGATTAAGAGTCTCTTATGGTTTGTCTCCCTCTCCGGTTCCATCTTGTTTCATTTTTCCCTCCCTTCCCCTCTGATCCTGTCTTGTTTCTCAAATTCCTCATATCATTGAGGTCATATGATAATTGTCTTTCTCTGATTGACTTATTTTGCTTAGCATAACACCCTCTAGTTCCATCCACGTCATTGCAAATGGCAAGATTTCATTTTTTTGATGACTGCATAATATTCCCGTGTGTGTGTGTGTGTGTGTGTGTGTGTGTGTGTGTGTGTACCACATCTTCTTTAGCCATTCATCTGTTGATGGACATCTTGGCTCTTTCCATAGTTTGGCTATTGTGAACATTGCTGCTATAAACATTGGGGTGCAGGTGCCCCTTTGGATGACTACATTTGTATCTTTGGGGTACATACCCAGTAGTGCAATTGCTGGGTCGTAGGCTAGCTCTATTTTCAACTTTTTGAGGAACCTCCATACATTTTCCAGAGTGGCTGCACCAGCTTCCATTCCCACCAACAGTGTAGGAGGGTTCCCCTTTCTCCACATCCTCGCCAACATCTGTCGTTTCCTGACTGGTTAATTTTAGGCATTCTGACTGGTGTGAGGTGGTATCTCATTGAGGTTTTGATTTGTATTTCCCGGATACCGAGTGATGTTGAGCACTTTCATGTGTCTGTTGGCCATTTGGATGTCTTCTTTGCAGAAATGTCTGTTTATATCTTCTGCCCATTTCTTGATTGGATTATTTGTTCTTGGGTGTTGAGTTTGATAAGTTCTTTATAGATTTTGCAAGATATTTGCAAATGACATATTAGATATGTCATTTGCAAATATCTTCTCCCATTCTGTTGGTTGTCTCTTGGTTTTGTTGACTGTTTCCTTTGCTGTGCAAAAGCTTTTTATCTTGATGAAGTCCCAATAGTTGATTTTTGCCCTTGCTTCCCTTGCCTTTGGCGATGTGTCTAGGAAGAAGTTGGTGTGGCTGAGGTCAAAGAGGTTGCTGCCCATGTTCTCCTCAAGGATTTTGATGGATTCCTGTCTTACATTTAGGTCTTTCATCCATTTTGAGTCTATTTTTGTGTGTTGCCCACTGATTCTTAAGGTGGTGGTTGTTTACATTTTAAAAAGGAAGAAATTTACAACAGAAGATTTAGTGACCTAGGCTATGGTCCCTACACAGAAGCTGGCCCCTAGGTCATAATTGATATTGATGTTGCCAGACATGCATGTCTGAGAGATCTGAGATTCCCAAGTAACTTTACCTCAAGGACCCATATAGACAAGTTGAATCTCATTCCAGAACAAACACCACATGGTTTCTACAAATGTTCATTCAGTTATTACTACACATGGAAACACCTGGAGACATCCCAGTAAATCCCCCTAAGGTCCAAGAAGGCTCCCTCGTGCCTCCATAATATAGTAAGGAGCCTACCTCTTCATGATAATAAAGTAACTTCTTTCTTTGCCTGCTACTTTACTGGCATGAAGAACCCAAAATGACCAGATAGCAGCCATCACTTTAGGACTAATATGCCCCCCACAAAGTACTGTGGCCCTTGGTAGAAGATCTCTCCATCTCCCAACTGGAAACCAGAACCTCTAGTCCAGGAGACCCTAACATTGTGGGACAAAAAACAAATCTCCCCAAGCAGATCATTGGAAATGACAGTATTGGGAGCCACTTTTGCATCCACCCCTTGCTTCTTGACTCTGTGAATTCTTTCTATTGAGGGCATTGTAATTTCAATGGCTATCAGTTCAGACTATGTATTACATTTTGAATGACAGCACTCAAACCCTGCAGATGTCATCTTCAGGCTGGCACCTTAGTTGTATCTTTCAAAAGCCATTCCAGTTTTCTATCAAACTGGCAGCTTTGCAGTGATATAATATATAATAGGAACAGTGGTTACCATGGCCATATGCCAATTGTTATATCTCCTTTCCTGGGAACTGAGTCCACTGGTCCAAATATGTTATGTGGGATCCCAAATCCAATGCAATAGGGAGTAGTGAGGACTATGGTGAAAAGGCAAGCACATTCCTTGTCTTAAAGCAACATCTGCTACTCAACTTAGCCAATTATTACCATTCAGGAATGTAGGCTCCTGGCTTCCAGGGTTTCCAAAGTCTGAAGAGAGCTGAAAATATGAGTTTTTTTATAGTTAATTTCCCATTTTAAAATGTCAGTAACTAATTTATAATTATTTAAAATTACTACATGGGCTAATTTGTGACCCTTGCCTCTTTTGTTATTATTAGTTTTTAAAGTAAATTCTATAATCCCAAGATCAAGAGTCATATGCTCTACCAACTGAGCCAGCCAGGCACCCCTGTGACCCTTGCCTTAACGTTTATAAGTCTGATTGCCACTGAAGGTGGGGTTCTGTCTGGGTGTGACCCTGAATAAAAGAAAAAGGACCAATAAGTGGAAACTACAGAAAAACAGGGCTTGATCCAAAACAAGAAAGCATTTTTAATAATATTGTTCAAAGATAGAATAGCCTGACTTAAAGGGATGAGTTGCTCATTTCAATTGTCAATTGGATCATCTCTCTGCCAGAACAGTATAAAGGAAATCTAGGGATCGAATGCATGGGACATTAGATTTTACTTTTCCTTTCCAATCTTGAGCTTGTCTGAAAACCACTGTTTCTTTCACCAAGGTTTCAGTTCTAGCTGGATTAGCCATTCCAAGTGAACCAACCCCTTGGTTTACTTACTATGTCATACATAGAGCACATGTGTGTCTCTTCTTGTCTACTAATATAGGATATTATTGGGATGTCTTTTCCAAAGGCAAATGTTTCTAAGGCTATTTATTACTATTTTATACTTCCTATCTCATGGGTTTGCCTTGCCCTGAGTTGGCCTAAGTTTCCCCCAAACCCACCCAGTAAGGTTCAACTTGGTTTAGTTGAGTCTTTGCTGGTGTTATTTTTTGCGGAAATAAATGAATACAGACTCTGATAATTTACACATGTTCAGAGTAACCATAAGGAGAAACCAACACTTTCCTGTACATATAGAAATTGCTTTAAATCTGGGGTCTGGAAATAAATAGTTTCTTTTGCTCTGAACACATATTTGCCACCACTGGTACTTTCTCTGCTCTTGAAAACATAGCCTATATTAATACAACACTGAAACATGTGAACATTTAAATAAAAATAATTTGACCAGTTAAATAAGATACAACAATTTATTCAATGACCACAAAAAAACATTTAGCTTTGGCCTCACATCTTCATGTTTGGCTTCACATGCATTCAAGACACCAATGTCTGTTTTATTTTTGAGAGCAGAGTCTGGTCCTCATATACCCATCACTTTCAGTAGATCTTCACTTCAGTATGAAACTTGTCCATGTTTTCAGATCTACAAAGAACAGATTTTAACCATTATTCTGAAAATGCTTTCCCTTCCATAAGAAAATGAAGGGGAAAAAAAAAGGTGGGGAAAAGGAAAGACTGCTTTACATTAAACTGCTTATTTTAGCCATGAGGATACGCCCTAGCCATTCTCAGATGCTGAAATATTCTGGTTTGGAATATCTTCACTGCTTGGTTCTTGGCCTGGAGCCTCATCACACTAAAGAATTGATTTGAACGTTCTGTTTTTCAAATTGTTTGTTTGCAAAGGCTAATCTGGGAGAGGAACTAATATTATTATTAAGGACCTTTTATGTTCAAGGCTTGTGCCAGAGATTAAGCATGTATTATCTCATTTAATCCTCACTACAATTCAGTGGGGTGAGCCTATTGCTCACATGAGAAGGTAGACTCAGGGATATAAGGATTAGACTTATAGACTTCAGGTCAGCTAACTTCAATATTCACAGATTTTCTTCAGCATCAAAGAAAAGTGATGGGAGAAAGGAAAAAGAGAAATCCATTGTAAAACTAGGTAATTCAAAGTTAAACTTCAGGAAATCATTTATGAAACTATTCCCTTGAATCATAATTCTAGTTGCACATTAAATTAAACTTCAAAGAGATCTGAGTACAAAAATCTGCTGACTAGCCTAAAAGTAAACCTGTGGCATAGAAAGTAACCGAATCCTTGTAACTGGCTTTGACTTTCAACTGTTCGATTGATCACTAGCAAATAATTTCTGGGCCATGTGCCCCCATTGGTTTTGAGTAAAGTTTGGGATTTTCTTTGCCCTGATTTACACAACCTGTGTATGCTTTCTCTGGGAACCTGTATGAGTGCTCCAAGTGTACCCACCCTAAGGCTGAGGATATCCTCTTTCTGTATTTATTTTCCCCTTGATGTTTAAGCAGTATGTTGAATCAACATTTCCTCAGGAGCTCTTTTAGTGCTTTCAACTAAAATTTCTTAGTAAGAGTCGTATTCAGTTCAACTTCTCTCTGTTACTTTCCCTTCCCTGGTTTAGTGTGTTGAAAAATCCATTCGCATCAGCATTTATGCAGCATATAATATTTTTTACTCTCATCCAACAGGCACATTTGGATTTACTATTTTACTTGAACAGTTGGTGTTTACTGGCAGCAACAAGAACAAAATTTATAGCAGCAAATGGAAGCTGAACTTGCATGCTGGCTTTGCACTGAAGAACTTTGTGTTTGCCATTTCCTAATTGTGAAAACAATATGTCCAAGATTTTGCAGTCATCAGCATTCTAATGTAACGATTTCCATCTGCTCAAAGGAAGAAATTCAGATCCTCTATCTCCTTAAATTTAATTCTGTTCAAATGCAAAGGTAACTGGCTTAGGAGAATGTTGGAAGGCCATAGAAATTCAGACTAAATACATTCTGAAAAGTGTCTGTAACATCCACTTATCCTGAGGATAATTTTTCTGAAGAACAAACAGGGTAGAGAGAGAATTTGCCATGATCTTCTTAATGGAAACGGCTCTAACCGGAGCAAGATGGCAGGATTACTTTGAGGTGAGAGAGGATAAAGAAAGCAGGATGATTTGTGGGGCGTTCCAATTGGAGGTAATAAGGAGTCAGAGATCCATAGAGACGAAGCAATTGCAGAATAATGCTGAGGCAATCGAGGCCAACAACGTGGTAATAAGAAGCGGTTTAACATCCCATCTTGTCCCATCTGGCATTAAGGATTTGGCACTGGTCGTTGAAATAGGAAACCCACGATGGCCCTCACACTCTTCCAGTGACCTCCCTCACTCATTAGTGTGGAGTCAGAGCTGAAAGAAATGTAGCATAATATTTCAAATGCTTGGTTTCATTTTTCCATATTAATTGATTCAACAAATATTTATTAGGCACTACATTGTGTGTCAGGACTGGCATTAGGTGCTGGGGATATGGATCATAAGCATCTCTTGGCTGTCTATTGTAAATAATGAAATGTGAAATATAAAATGCATAGAATGGTTCTACTTTGAGATGTTTCAGCTCAAGCAACACACAAGGAAGACTTTTCTATTAATCTTTATCCTTCATATTCCTCTCTTTCTTCCTGAAATGAGTATGGAAAGGAAACGGAATTCTAGAAATTACCACATAGCTGAACTTCACTCTGTGGAATAGTGAGTCCTTGGCAGGAAGAGGATTCTATTCATGATCTCAAAATTCCTAAACAGCAACAGCATTGTAAACAGATCAGCCTCCAAAGTGGAGGTCATAGCCCTGCACATGGTAGGCATTCAGTGAGTAGGTATTGACTGGCCAAACAGAGGGAGCTAGCTTCTTAGAGGCTGTGAAATCATGGCTCTAAAATGTTCTTTAAGGGCAGAGACATGGGATGGAAACTCTAAGGACATTACCTCCCACCTGCCTCCCTCCTCAGATCCACATCAATCTGCAGGTGTGAAAACAACCCTGACTCTGGCCAGCCTGTGGTCTTTGTAGTGGGCACTAAGGTCTTGCTGGTCCTGCTCCCTGCCCTTCACAGACTGTGAATCTTATCACAGAACTGCCTCTTCATCCCTTGCTTCCCTCATCCCCATGCTCTGTTGGAAATACAGGAAATTTGAAATCATAAAACCCAGAGAGGAAAGGGTCAATTATTGTACTTATTCAAGCTACATAGTTCCAGTTTTTCCCTTCCTGCAGAGACTCTTATAGAAAGACATAAGAATTACACTTACCTATGAGCCATTCCTCACTCAGAACTGTCACATACTAACTCCTTCTTGTGCTGATGTCTCTACCTTAGTCTCACCATGCCCAAAGTCCAGGACTAAAAGCATTGTTTCATCTACACTAACTCATGTCTTGGGCAACTTTGGGTTTGTTTGTTTGTTTTTCTGACTTGTTTCTCTTCCCCTCCTGGCAGTGCATTCTATCTCTGGGATCTCATTTCCCTCTCCTGTGACCCTTCTTTATCAGAGCAACCCCAGTCTATCCAACATATCTTAAGAACGTTAAATCTGAAAGAGAAAGCAACTCTGTTGACATGTACATGTTACAGGATACAAAAATAAGCCTTTCCTGTTGTCTCAGTGTTGCCTTAGGCCCTAGAGCTGAGAACAAATGTGGTTAAATGCCTATCTATTCTAAAGAGATGTAACTTGTTAAGGGGTGACCAAAAAATGGTCCAGGAGCACTGTCTTTCCCCCAATCTGAGATATATAAGGGGCGACCCATGAATTGAAGATGAAAGTAAGGATTTCATCAGAGACCATTTTTAGGCTGTTGAAATGTTTCTTCTCCCCTTCCCCCAGTGTTTTTCCCTCATCCTAAGCAAGTGAGAGGAGGCTTCAGAGACCCACTTGAAAAGCTGACCTGTGTAAGAGTATATCAGTTTCCTATTGCTGCCATAGCAAATTATCACAAGTTTAATGACTTCAAACAACAAATTCATTATCTCAAAGTTTCGTAGGTCAGAAGGTTAGTTGGTGTAGCTGGTTTCTCTGTTCGCGCCTCACAAGGTTGAAATGAAGGTGTTGGCTGGGCTGCATTCCCTTCCTTCAGGAGGCTCTAGGGGAGAATCTGTTTTCAGGCTCATTCAGCTTGTTGGCAGAATTCAATTCCCTTCGGCTGTTGGACTGTGGTCCCTGTTTCCTTGCTGGTTTTCAGATGGAGACTGCCTTGGCTCCTATGTCCTCTCTCTGGTTCTTGCCCACGGGCCCTTGCATCTCAGAGCCAACCAGAGCGTGTGGAATCCTTTTCATGCTGCCATATCTTTATGATTCAGCCAGGAGATTTTCTCTGTTTTTAAAGGCTCATGTCATTATATTGAGCTCACCCTGGTAATCCAGAATAATCTCCTCGTCTCAAAATCTATAACGTTAATCACATCTGCAAAATCCCTTTGCCACATAATATGAACTATTCACAGGTCCTGGGGACTAGAGTGTGGACATCTTTGGGGAGCTGTTATTCAGCCTAGCCCACAGAGACTGGTACCTGGAAAGTTATCAGGTGAGAAGCCAGACAGAGCAGCCTGCGGCAGCCGTGAAAAAAGGGCTAGAGCAGGTTGTACTTCCACTGATGATACAGCTTACTCCCTCACTCCTTGAATGGGGCTCCAACCAAGAGGATCACCAGGAGCCACAGGTAAGCCTGGCAGAACAAAACTAGAACCACTAGAAGCCAGGGGCTCAGTGGAAGTGATTGTAGCCAGCTAGAAGAGAATCCTGGGTTGGTAAACCACAGTGGGAATTCCCCAGTGCCCAGTGGAGGTGTTTCTGAGAAACTCTGAAAGAAAGCATCAGCCTTCAGGTAACTCCACACCCAGAAAACTCAGATTACAACCTTGCCTTTCCTCCCTGCTGCTGTTCCAATGCTGCTGGATGCAAAAGCAGCAAGAGAATCAAAGAAGAGTAGTAAGAAAGCAAGGTGGGGAGAGATGAGCCTACCCATGCTCTGTTTCCTCCCTGCAGGTCTGCATCTGAGGCAGGTCTGAGCTGGGGGAGGGAGGAGGTTTTGAATTGAGTGAGCATTGAAGTTTCTATATTAGATTGAACTGGACTTTCAAGACCTCACACACAGAGTATTTGTTAATACCTGTGAGTGGCATAAAAGTTACGGATCTGCCTAGGATCCCCGAATGGGAAAACAAGTTCATCAGTCAGTTGTAATAAAGAATAATGTTGCTTTCAGCTTGCTTTGTTTAATAGACCAGACCTCATAAATTACCCAGCCCTTCCCTAGAAACCTCTAAATTCTGATCACCAGCTATCTCAGGGGAAGGGCCATGCATCTCCATTAACAGGAACTTAGACACTTGTTGAGTTAAAATGTTTGGTTACAGCTTAATGATTACAACTGCAAAGCCAGAATATTGAATTTTTAAAGATATATTATTTATGTGAAACTGATGCCATGTTGCTGCCATATTAAACAGTAAATTATCTGAGAACTGACATTATAAAGAGTATTTTGACTGGTCGAGAAGGGCTACCATTTTTTGACCTACGATCCTTGAATTACCCTCTTCATGATGTCACAGAAAAAGCATTAGACTAATTGTTCTAGAACTGGATCTTCTCTAACTATATATGTATGGAGAGATCATTGCACTTCTGTGAGCCTCAGTTTCTTCATGTGTAAAATGGTTAACAGGAATGTCTGTCTTATCCATCTCCTAGTGTTGTCAGGAAAATCAAATGTCACAAGGGCCATGAAAATATATTTCTAAATTGTAACCTGTATATATAATAAGGTATTATTAGCAATCGAGCATTTCTATATGTTCCAAAGATAGGTTATAAATTTTTTTAAAAATCTAAGATTGCTTACTGGATTATTACTAGCCCATTGCTTAATAGTCCATGCTTAATGGACTAATTCTGAAAGGACTCGTAAGAAACCGATAATTGCCTTCAAGTAGAGACTTGATGAGAGTGATGGGGAGACTAATTTATCACTCTTTCTTTTTATATCTTTTGAATTAATATCATATGTATACATTATGTATTCAAACACAATTTAACAATAATTTGAGAAATTGAAGAAAGAATATCTGTTTATTCTTAATGATAATAAGTTGAATATAATATAATCTTTCTGAAAAAGGACTTTTTAGGATCTTTAATGCTTCAGGATTAAAGGAGATGAGTTAGTTGATGCAACTAGAGCAGAACTGGGCATATAGTAGGTGTTCACAAAGTGGCAGTGCCCTTTCTCTGGAGGTCATCATTATGACTATCAACTCCCAGTGAATCAGACATATACAAGGATATAGCTGATGGGATGTGGGTATTAGAAAGTTTATTGGATTTTACTGGGATGTTGGACACAGATGGTAACTGGGAATGCCAGCAAGTTGATGAATCATCTGGTAAGCTAGTGGAAAAGGTGAGTGGATCCAGAAACAGGCCAGAGAGGACAAGGAAACAAACAGGTCTGGAGAAAGGCAACTACACCCATTATATCATGTAACCTGCTTTTTCAGTTGCTGATGTTCCCAAAATGTTAAGTGCATTTTGCAATTGCAGTTATTCTGATTTTCATGGTATTAAATGCTCATTAAATAACAAATAGCTTGAAATCTCATTAGACTGCGGAACTTTTTTTTTTTTCTAATTTATGATTTCTCCTCATTTTATGGTAAGGAGCAGTGAGTCTATAAATCAGAATGCTTTATGGGAAGCTATAACACCTAGCCCTAATGCCAAGACTGAGAATCTGATAGCATATCTATTAAAAATTAAGACCCCTGAAAGACTGTAGTTCCTGCTAACAGGAATGCCCAAAGCAGCCAGACACTATGTCTCCCTTTTTGTTTTAATGTAGTTTTATCAATTCTGCTATTCTGTTATAGAGCAAGCATCCAGAAAAACACTTAGAAAGCAGGCAAAATGAAAACAAAAGAAAACTGGGAAGAACTTTCCCATGCAGGAATCATCACCAATGTTAGATATTATTGGTATTGCTGAGATGACCATGGGACAGTTTAGAATATTGCTGCTCCAAGTGTGGTTCCCAAAAAGCATCACCAGCATCACATGGGAGATCGTTTCCAGGGCAGAATCTCAGGCCCTCCCCCAAGATCTACCAAATCAGAGCCTCTAGTTTCATAAGATCCCTTTTGAATTTTATGAACATCAAAATCACTAATTTAAGGGTATCAATGTGCTTTAGGTAAAAATATACTAATTAAAAGGCAGCATTCATTTTATCCTAGTAGGAGAAATGGTCAACTTTGGATTGTTCCTTGAGGATAAATAGTAAAAAAAAATTTAGCTAAAAATATAACTTGGAAGCACTTTTCCAGGCTTTGAGATAGTGAAGTCATTTGGGGGCTGTGGAACTGAAGGAAGGAAATAGATGGGAAAAGAATAAGCTCAAAGATGGAGGTTCTAAGTTTTGGCGACTGATTAAATGTAAAGTCTAAGGAAGCCTGAAGTCTCCCCCATTCTGGTGACCAGATGAGTGAGGAGACTATTAGTTGAAGATGGGAATCTACTAACTAGTAAGGTGCTAACGAATGAAGCCTCCATTTACAACCTGGAACACTTAAAACCTAGGACCTTTTCTTTATGGGATTGTTTTTTCTTTGAACCAGTGATTCTGTTTGACACCAAGGATTGCTTTTACTGTTTTTCCCACCATGGACCCTTGATTTAAAAGATTTCACCTTTCCATCTGTTAATTAAGAATACTTTTCCATTTTTATTCACAAAAGTGCTATTGACCAGTGAGAGATAATGTGTGTTAACACGAAGGTTGCTATGATTCCAGACAAAAACAAATCTTATAATTTAATTAGTATACGAAGTTTCCCATAACTTTGAATAGGAAATAATTCAAGGACTTACCATTAAGTGTGAAAGTGAAGAAGAATCCAGGGCTGGCCTGAGTGAAAGTTCCCAGGGCTATAGGGGAAGGAGAACTGAAGACAACAATAAAGACAAAGTTAAGAAGCTTTACTATCTCGGCCATGAGAACTTCCAGTTACAGGACTCAGTGAAAGGAAACAGGAATAAACATATATACATGGGAATGCTCAGACCCGGACCACATGAAAACAAATCACACAAATGGTAGATAACCAGCAATCAGCAGGTGACTATTTTGACTCTTGGTAACAATACATTAATGGAAAAAAAATTCTGAAATATCACTTCCAATGTGAAAGACCCTTATCATTCTAATTGTAGGGGACCAAGTTATAATCCGTTACAATGAATATTTTCTCTTGAAAAGTCCCTATGTAATCAACCAGACTCTCCAGACAGTAGCCAGCTTTATGTTACATTTTTGGTGATGGGAGGAATTTGTTACAACGATGACATCTCTGATAGTGGAAATTTACTTCCATGGAACTGAAGTCTTAATCTCTTGAGTGATTTTCAATTGGCAGGGGTGGAAAGTCTTCTCTAGCATTTAACTATGCAGATATTTAATGAGGTTTTCAATTAACAAAAATTAAGAAACTCCTAATGGGGTAACTATTTTAGGTATGTAAACTAAATAAAAGAGAGTTCTGTGTAGGTAAATTTGGAGAACAATGTAGCGGCTGTTATGTGTGGATGATTATTTGGGTCCCAGCTTGAACAGAGAACAACTCTTTAAATGTGCATTATATGTGCAGGTCTAGGGTGCAGTCACCTCACATTTGAGCCATACTTATGGGTTTCCATGTGTTACAGTGACTGGGGGAATATGCTACCGTGGTTCCATGTTAATAGGAATTAATATGCGGTTTGGTTAGCAATTTAGAACTGTTTCACATTAGCCATGACTTTACAGCAGACAGTTTTATAAGGAGAATGAAATGGATTGAATACAGTCACTTGAATTAAAATATCTTTTATATACTCTGTGTTCCCTCAGAGCTGATGACAAACCTAGAGAAGCATGCTAGAACAAGCAGACCAGAAAATTAAATTCTTCTCGTTCTCACTTTATGCAGTAGGCACAATTCAAAGTGTTAGCCTCAAATATCTTTCTGTGTGTTTTCTGTTTTCTTCCTTTTCTTCTTTATAAGTCAGCCAAATTTGGTAAGATGATTAAAATTGGGACTTTTGCAAACCTAATGACTAAATCAGGGAAATATTGGGCTGGAAAGATCCTTTGAGTGAGTCAGGTCTAGTGCTTTGTCTCCGGCTGCCTGACATCTCAGGACTCATGGGAATCAAATGTGATGATGTGTGTGAGAACACCACTAAAATGTAACAGGCAAGCTTGTGTAAAGATACACATTGTTATTTTTATGAGTATGGCACTAGACCATCCCAGATTATTAGAAAGTTTGGTTATTTTTTTTTCAGTCTCATAGAAAGGAGTTACTTAATTTCTTTAGTAGTTTAGCAAATTCTTAAATTCTACTCCTATATCCACCCTAAATTCATCTTCTAAATATGTTAGACCATTCCCTCATTCATTTTTTAATAGAGAAGAGCTGGTCACTGTGCTTTCTATATAATGAAACCTACCTAATTTGACACAAGGAATTTTTTAAGATGAAAAAAAGTAACTTCCTGGGGTGCCTGGGTGGCTCAGTCGGTTAAGCATCTGACCTCAGCTCAGGTCACGATCGCAGGATCCTGGAATTGAGTCCCACATCAGGCTCCCTGTTCAGCGGGGAGCCTGTTTCTCCCTCTCCCTATGTCTGCTGCTTCCCCTGCTCGTGCTCTCTCTCTCTCTGCCAAAAAAATAAAGTATTAAAAACAAGTAACTCTTAAAAAAGTTTAGAAAAAAAATGAGCAATCAGTTGCATGCATCAGGATAGGGCAGCAATTTCTGAGTGACATAATGCCAAAAGCAGGAATCCTAAAAGAAAAGATTCATAGATGGGCTGTTTATAAATTTTACATGTCTGTATATTAAAGACCACCAGAAAGAAAGCAAAATGTAAATTATATGCTGGAAAATAATATTTGTAACTCATGACAGATAAAAAATTATGTCACTTATTTGCTATATTTATTTTGTTATTTACTACCAAAATGTCATTAAAATGAGGTTAAAGGAATAAAAATAATATAAAATTACCAAGAGAACAGAAGAGATAAGAGCAGACAAGGGATAATAGCAAACTTTTGAAAGAGGGAGAGCAGATGGAAAATCAGCAGAGCTGAAAAATCTGAGCATCTAATATCTGCAAAGGAAATGCCAATGAGAAGTGAGCTAGTCCCTATAAGGCAATATGAGAAAGTTCTTGGGAATGAGAAGTACCATCTCGACTGGCGTGGAAGGCAAAATATTTTACAACAAGAAAAATGTAATATCCAATAATATGATCAATGCTTCAAAACTGCTAGGAAAGAAATACAAATTAAAAAAAAAGGATCAACATCAGAAAGCAAAGGTTTAAAATATAACATTCAGCATTTGTTCATTCATTCACCAAATATATGCCAGGATCTAAACTCTACCCCTGATAGTCTTCTGGGTCTTCCAGATAAAGTAACAAATAAAATAGCATCCCAATGCAGCAAAGTAGATCCACACTGCAAGGTAATCAGTGAGTGGCCATGCCTCTTGGTGGGGTGAGGGGAAAGACCAGCAGGATCTAGGCCTTTCTTTCTCTTTCACTGTTGGTTTTGGTGAGATTCCCCTTTCAGCAATGAAGTATATCACTCATCCCTTACTGTGTGACAGTGTAGACTATTCCCCAAGCCCTGACACCAAATGGGGGGTGAGCCAGATGGGACTGACCTGGCACATGAGAACTCAAATAATAGTAGTGTATGATGCCATGATTGGGCATTTTGAATACAGTGTTAATGAGCTTATTTAAGAGCAGGCTTTAATTAAAGAGAAAATGAGAAGAAGATAGAACTTTCATCTGAGTGGGAGGAGACAGAAAACAAATATATGTCAGATAACTGTAGATGCTAGTTAAGGAAAGAGAAGGGGAGTCCTATTTTCTGTGCTGTGGTCATAGAAGTCCTCTTCCTTCAAACAGAAGAGAGCTGAGAAAGTAGGGAGTTTACTCCACAACTCTATGGGAGAAGAGCACTCCAGGCAGAAGGAATAGCAGGTGCAAAGACTTGGAGCAAGAAGAGTGTTGGCCTGTTCAAGAACAGGAAGTGGGCCCAGGTCATTGGAGCCACGAGATGTGGGTAAGAGTGGTAGGAGATGAGATCAGAGAGGCAGCCAAGGGGCTAGGTCATGTGCAACCTTACAGACCATGATAAGGATTTTGACTTTTATTTTGTGGGAGACCAGAAACATGCAGAGTGTTTTGAGGAGGGAAATGATGGAATCTGACTTGTGTTCAGGGATCACTGACTTCTGTTATGGGACATAGATTTGGGGGAGCAAGGACGAGAGAAGGGAGACAGTCTGGAGACTTGAAATAATCCAGGCAAAAGACCATGGTAAGGGGTATAAAGTGAAGGAGGTGGTGAAGGAAGTAAGAAGTGTTCAGATTCCAGATATATTTTAAAGGTTGAGCCAATAGGACCTGATAATAGATTGGATATGGTCTGGAAGAGAAAGATTGGAGTCAAGGATCATCACAAGATTTTGGGCCTGAGCCAGTGGAAGAATGGAGTTGCTACATATTCATATAGGAAGACTATGGAGGGAAGACTATGTTGTTGTGGCCGTGGTTAAGACTGTGATTGGGATGGGGTTGGAGATACAGAATCAAGAGTTTGTTTTTGGACTTACTGAGTTTGAGATCCTTATTAGACACCTAAGAAAAGATGCTGGGTAGGAAGTCTGGGATTCAGAAGATAGGTCAGGATTAGACAAAGCAACTTGCTTATCAGCAGCAGAAGAGGCTTATTTTGAGCCATGATACTGGATGAGCTTACTCAGCAGTGAGAGCAAATTGAGGTCTGAACTCGGGCACTCAAACACTAAAAGTTCCCACAAGTTAGGAATATGAAGAGGATGTACCTGAGGAGACTAGAAAGGACCACCAGTAGAATCAAGAGTGAAGGCAGAGCCAGCCAGGGAAGAGAAATCAAGAGAGGGTGGTGTTCCAAAGGCAAGATGACGAGTGTTCTGAGACAAGTGGAGTGAACATCTATGTCAGGAGCTGCTAGTAGCTCAGGTAAGACAAGGACCAGGATTTGATCACTGGATTGGCCATTGTGGAGGTCTTTGAAAGAGTGGGTTCAGTGCAGTGATGGGGAAAGAAGCCTGATGGCAGTGGGTTCAAGAAAAATATGGGATGCCTGGATGGCTTAGTTGGTTCAGGTCATGATCCCAGGGTCCTGGAATAGAGTCCCGCATGGGGCTCCTTGCTCAGCAGGGAGCTTGATTCTCCCTCTGCCTGCAGCTTCCCCTGCTTGTACTCTCACGCACACTCTCTCTCTCTGGCAAATAAATAAATAAAATCTTGGGAAAAAAAAATATGAAGGGAAGAACTAAAACTAGGAAGTAAAAACAACCCCTTGGAGTTTTGCTATGAAGGCCCATTTACATTTCTTTCACATAGAAAGGAATATTTTAAGTTATGAGGTAAAGATGGCCAATCGATAGGTTTAATCAAAAGTTGGGGTGGCAGATAGTCTATCACTAATTGAAGAAATAGCTTTGAATCATACAGTCTTTCAAACAAATTAATAAAAAAACTAATGAATTCTACCATACAGGATGATAGTCTCTATAATTCTTCATGTTTTTTTTAAATAATTATCAAAGCTTTAATTCTTTTCCACCAGTGTCTTATTTATTAATCCATATTGTAATTATCTTTTCTCTTTTTTGAATGCATGCCATACTCATATTTTATCTGTAGGGCTCGAAGGTGAAATCAGAATAGGATTTTTCCAGTACTCTCAGGATTGTTAAGAAGAAGCCATTAATGGGACAGTGGGAGGACACAGTATCACAGCTCCTCTTCCTGAAAAAACAAAACAACAAAAACTTAAAGGACTACCCTAATAGAGTGAAAGTACATAGAAGGGAAAGTGGTATAGAGCAAGGGAAGAGAGATGCAGAGAAAGAGTTGATTGCCTTGGCAAGGGTATTGGAGGTTCGATCAATCAGGATATGTTAGGTTTTGCTGCAATAACAAATCTTGGCAGCTTATTCCATACTCATTCCTGCTGTATGCTGTATTCACATAATCACTCAAGAACCCAAACTGTGGGAGCAAGTATCATCTCAAACATTGCTGGTTGCCATTCCAGAAGGGAACAGAGAAAAACTCTTGGGGGTCCCATGCCAGCAATTAAATGCTGTGGTATAGAAGTGACATGCATCACTTCTACTTATAACCTATTGACTATATTCACCCCACTCAACAACAGGGGGATGCAGAAAGTCATCCTACCACAGACCTAAAAAAGGAGAAGACCTGAAAATATTTTCCAAACAGCACTAATATCTGCAACAGGGATGGTCTGAGCTTATTGGATGTATGTAAGTCTAAATCTGTCTAAGGCCATTCCCAACTGCCTTATTTACAATACCCTTGAGTCACTGCCTGGTGCCAGCATTGAGCTACCCTGCCTCCAATGCCTGTAAGTGTGAAGTATATGCAAAGGGAAGTGCTCTGAACTAGGGAAGAGAGAATCTGGGCCCCCACCTTAGCTAGCCAGCTGCAGGGCCTTGAGCAAGTCACCCAGAGGCTGTGATGAGCTCACTTGTAAAATAAGGAAATCCCTCACATCTCTTCTTGCTCTACCCTGCTTTGATCCACAGGAATATGCACTTGTGGACCAGTTTGCCAAATTCAAGGGAGGGGGAGAAGCTGGGTACTACTTCAGATCCAAGGTTTGGTTTTCCCTCCTTTAGCCAAGATGAGTCCTGGAGGTGGGGAGCTGCTGCCCTGAGGCTGAGCCTCAAGCCCCTAGCCCAGGCAGTGGCTGGTCCACCCCTAGGGCTGTTAAGTGCAAAGGAATTAGCCCTCCTTGAGATTCAGAGTAAAAAGTCAGCCCATGTAGCATAATTTAGTGTTTTTGGACGTTTAAAAAGCAACAAAGAGAAGGAAGGGAATCCAGCAGTGGTCAGAAGGAGGGGGGAAGGAGGGGGGAAAGAGGGTCCTATGCTTAATCTACTCAAAACTACTGGTTCAGCTGCTGGAACTAGTCTGACTAGACTGAATTGAACAGAATCTGACTAATTTTTTGTATTTATTTTTATATTTTTTTCTGTACTACAGCAACCAGTAGATTTTATTTTAATTTACCAGGTCAAACAATTATTTTACCAGTTTGGGATGTAGCCTACAAATATTAACAAGTAACCGTAATCAAGGTCTTTGTCTATGTGTGTTCCTTCGGGGTGTTTTGGGTTGGAAATGCATTCTTCTTCTCATTTATTTATCATATATTTTCTAAGCATTTTTCTAGCATCAAGTGTGTGCTAAGCATTATGCATTATGTTAGGGCCCAGGGACACAAAGATTAATACAGTGTGATTCCTGACTTCAAGGGGCCGTTGTCATCCAGGAGGAAGAACTGAAAAAAGTAGTCAACAAGCAGCCCCACAGCCAGTCCTCTCCCCATTCCTGTCCTGTGACCTGCAATGAGGTGACTGGGCCCTGCCAACCTTGGGGGTGCTATTAAACCTGTGAGGTCCCCAGCTCAGCCCACCCTCCCCACTGCTCAGCACTCTTTTTATTTGCCTCCTTTTAGCATCCCCCTGGGCAACATTCCCAACCTTTTTCCTACTCTTCTAACACCCCACCCACCTTCTCTGTAGACAATCCACCTCTGCAACAGCTTTTCCAGAATCTAGCTGGGAACCAGCCAGTAGCAACCTCAGTACTTTCCCCTTCCCTGTTTGTATATAGCAAAGGCTTCCATTTAACTAGAAAGACATGTTTTTTTACTTAAATTTCCCTTGAAAATACACAAGGGTTTAAATTAAGGGTAAAAATTGCATTTTCAAATCAAACGTTTTTGCCAAAATCCAAAATGTTTGAAAAAATAGGTCAAGAGGCTTTCTTAAAGCGTCAGGTTTTCCCATCTGTGGTTAGATTTGTAGATTACATCGTGAGGCCCTTTCATGTGTGGATGTCATCGTTCCAAGAGCCTGCTGCTGGCTGTGCCTTTTATTTCTCCAGGCAAGGGTAGAGCATCATGGGGGTGCGCTGAGAACCTGTGAGTCTGGGCAGCAGTTCCTAATTAGGGTTGTGACCTTGAATATATTCCCTAACTCTCTGGGAATGTATTGAAAATATTCATTTCCCATGGCACACCAAGATTCTTGGATAATACATGGACATCCCAATTATTCTTCCTTTATCAGTAAGGAAGACAGGTGCAGGAGCTGAAATTATCCATATCCTTAATTTTATAGGCAAATTCAAATACTGAACTATGTTTTGCAAGGCAGTGTTTTCAGCCCTGCATTCTGCATTCTAAACGTCTGCCATAGATGCCCAGCAATGGGGGGTAAAATTTATGGGAGGCAATAGGATGAAGACCTTCCACCTCTGAGCCATAGCATGAAGGGCTGTGCCCTGAGGGCAGGGATTGGAATTATCACTGTGCTGAAGACCAAAACCCTATAAATTCTGTGATTTTTTTGTTGTTGCCCTTAATATGTTAATACATGCTAAGTGTTATCTGAAGGAGAATAAGTTTAGTGTACATGTGTGTGTGCATGCATGTGCATGTGTGTAAATGCGAGCACCAGGGTTTGTGTATTTATGAAGATGGAGAGATTAAGAAATAATTCTGTGATATTCACAAACATGAGGTCTAAGTATTGTTTTCCTCTCTTTTTTTAAGTATGTATGTATGTACATGCGTATGAGAACTGAAGAATTAACAAAACCAACTAAATACTAAGTCAGCTTGAAAGTAATTCAGAATGAGGCCCGATTCCACATCTGTGTGGAGTCACAGTATTTTCTGCTGAGTTGTTCATCTGGGAGACTGGGGTCATTGACACCCAGCTGTTCTTGGGTTCCACACTGGTGAAGAGCTGTTTAAATGTTCTGGCTGGACCCATAAGAAGCTACCGCTGAGGTCTGGGCTCCTGGTACCCCCCAGGTGTCCTGTTGTCTCTTGGTCTCACTTCCCTGGGCCAGTCCTCTTTTATTCATCTGAAGAGATTTGAAGTTATCTTCCTGGCTTTTCTCCAGCTCCACCCCTACCATGACTACCTCCTATCCCCCACCCCCACTCCCACCAAAATACTCAGAGCCATGCTCTACCCTGGGCTCTAGTTAGGGAACTCTCTCAGTGTCAAAGCCAGTCAAGCTGGCTGGATGACTTCCCCACACCCTACTTTATTCTAGGACCAGGGGTCTTTCTTCTAGGACCAGAGGTCTTCTCCCTGCCTTAAGCCTCCTGGGCTCTGGCTTACTGCCCTGTGCTTTCCACCAAGCTCATGTAGGTCTGTCATAGAGCCTGAGATCCTACATTTCGAGCAAGCTGCCAGGTGAGACATTTGCCGTCTGGCCTGGGACCACACTTTGAGAGCAAACCTTCCAAGTACACCTGGGGCTGCAGCTGTTGGTACCTGGCAAGGCTGTCCCATTGGCCTCCGGGCAACTCTGGTGACAGGCACACCTCTCAGGAGATGGGAAGATTCTAGTCCTTGGGCTGAAGAGGATTCACATTAGGCTGGGCTTTAGAAGAAAAAAGAAACAAAATAGGAAAATACAGCTTTTTCTAATTACAGATAAGAAACTAGTTATTTTAAAGAGAAAAAAAGAAATGTAATAGACTAAAATTGCAGTTCCCTAGGTATATTCTTTTTTTTTTTTTTTAAAGATTTTTTTTAATTTATTTATTTAACAGAGATAGAGAGCGTAAGTAGGCAGAGCGGCAGACAGAGGGAGAGGGAGAAGCAGGCTCTCCACCGAGCAGGGAGCCCGATGTGGGGCTCGATCCCAGGACCCTGGGAGCATGACCCGAGCCGAAGGCAGTCGTTTAACCGACTGAGCCACCCAGGCGCCCCTCCCTAGGTATATTCTAAGAACTACTGGTCCTGTGGGATGTGAACAAGAATTGTGAACAAAAGAGGTTTCTATGCTTACATGAGTTCTAGGATCTAGTATCTAAACACCCACCGGGTTAAACAAAGTTCAATAGGTTCTTTACTTTTCAGAGGCTTTTATAAGTTAATGTGCATTGTGGATCTCCAAAAAGAACATAAAACATGCACCATTTCCCCAAAGTATTTTCCAAGGAAATCCCTAATTTTTTTCAGGGAGGCTAGTAACACCAAAGCTCCACGGATTGCCCTTTGGGAAGGGGTACCATGAGCACGTGCTAGCATCAACTTCATCAACCTTCTTACTTCTTCCTTCTCCTGCCCTACAGATTACAAAATGGAAGTGTTTGTTTTCTCAGGCTCATTTGCTGATAACTTTGTCATTTCTTAGGCTGTCTGTCCATGGGTCCATAAGCATTTGGCTATTATTTAATTTTTTAAACAAATGTCACACATTTAAGTGTTAAGACCAGAATGTAAAAATCATGACATCTGTTCATCTCCATGTTATATAAAGACTGAAAGATGTTCCTTCCCCACTATTCCCTCTCCTTACTATATATAGTTAGAAGGGTTGAGGATGGGAGCAGAAGAAAGGTAAGAGGAAGAATGTTTAAGATGCTGAAAGGAATACATTTCTCTCATTGTATATCACCAACAATTTAAAAAGTCTAGAGGTCTTGAACTTAAACATGTTTGAGTAAGCTTCAGAATTTCTCTTTGAGATTCGAGAGTTTGAGCAGATATCAGGAAAACATAGAATAAGTAGACCCAGAGAGCAATGCCTCCTCCAGATTTTGCTGAGGGGTCTACATCCTGCTGAGCAGTTAGTAACATGGAATAGTCGAGATACCCTCTGGGGAGTCTCCTCTTTTTTTTTTTTTAGAGTGAGGCATGCAAGTGGAATTTCTGTGGTTCTGTTGCAAGCAGGCAGGGAGAGGCGATTCATACGGTCACAGCCACAACAGTATGCAGAGGGAGCATCCAGTTCACTTAATAGCTACATTCTCAACCAAAATTCTGTTATAATCCTTGGGAGAAATTAGATAGAAGATATGGAGCAAATGAAGTGGGGTGTGTTTGTGCGTGCACGCGTGTGTGTGTGTGCGTGTGCATGTGTGTGTCTGAGGTGGTAGGTAGCTGGGATTGGAGATGGGTGGATTTATGAATTGGATAAAACAATAAATATTGTACTTAAAAATAGGAGAAGTGGAAAGTCATCCCTCCACTGTGATAGCATATTTTTACACCCCCTGGGATTGTGTTGGACATATCAGAGCTGGCAGGGGAGGGCCTGTATTGTGGAGATTGCCATGGCAACCGCAGTAAGTGAGCTTTCCTCTAAAAACTTCGCTGGCCCAAGAACAAGCTCAGGCAAGTCCACAATTCAGTGGCTTATGGGTGCTTTCTTATTCTAAAATATTGCAATGATGATTGCTAAGAATCATAAATAGAAGAAAGGGAGGCTATTTGTGCTTATCTTTTTGTCCTGCATTTCCTCACATAATACCCTTTCCCTAATTATCTCCACAACAGGAACACAAGGCACTCCCAATTACAAAGTCAATATCCATTTCCCAAAATGTAAAATTAAGAAAAAAATTATTTTGCTGACTTGAACATGTGAACTTTTAGGCATCTAAATGAAATAATTAAAAACCTATTTACAGTATTTATTAATTTACATATATGTAGAATAATTGCATAAAACTGAAAATAAAATTATATACACTCATTAATTTGGAAATATTGTTTTATTCTACTCTGACATTTCATGAAGCAATCTGATTTAAATGAATCATATGTGCTTTTGTTGTCAGTAACTTTGCCAACATTAGAAATTCTTTTGATTTTTTAACTATTTTCCCAAGCGCACTGTCTGCTCTGCCACCCAAACTTTGACAACACAGTTATTTTTAAGTCCAGATGTAATGCTATCACAGAAAATTTTATTCCAGACCACAAGTACCCATTTCCACAATGTTAGGATAGGTTTTCTTTTTGCAAGTCATTATTTATGGTTTAGAAATGATATGACCACTTACTGTATTGACTTTTTAAAAAGCTTATTTACAATGACATACAAGACTGGAAAGGATGAGGTTGAACCACCCAAAGGAAAGACGATTACACTTTGTTAAATTTCTTTGACTCCTTTTTATTAATTTAAACTTATATTAGATGACCTAACAAAATAGTTTTAGTAATAACAATAACACTTCCTGAGCCCTTATCATGTGCCACCCACTGCTTAAACATGTTGTGTACAGTAAGGGTCTCAGAGGATGGCAGTTGAGGATTCCTGAACAGATACAGCTGTGGACCAGGCAGAAGCAGCACCCTGTGGTCTACTGAGACTACTGAATGGTTTCCACTTGTGTGTGCATTACTGCTGCTTAATCACCTGGTTACCAAACACACGCACACATACACAGAAAAATGCCATCCTCTCATTTTCCCAGAGGGAAATACAAAGACAAGATCTTAACAACAGCATGTCATTGTTTTAGATTAGTGGTTCTCAGCTCTGCACATTAGAATAATCTAAGAAGCTTTTTAAAGACACTGATGATACCCAGGCCTCACCCAGAACGACTAAAGCAGAATCTCTGGGGTGGAGTCAGAGCATCAAAAGTTTTTAAAGTTCCACAGGTGATTCTAATTTATAGCCAGATTGAGAACCAAAGTTTTAGATTATTAGACATAAACCAAATGTCCTCATATCTTGACCTGGATAAAACAAATGTCCTAATATCTCTAAGTAGAAGGTGAGAAGTTCCCACTATGCTCTTCCAGTTTTCTGCAGATTTTCAAAAGTTCTCTTTAAATGAATGCCTGGTTGGCACCTTGTTTTTCCTGTTTATGCTTCCATTCTTTCTTTGCCCCATCCTTTAAAACACCCACCTCACCTGTGCACTTAGAATGCAACCAAGTTCTCCTGGACTAATAGCACCACCCAGAGATTGATGCAGGGAATTTATTTTCCTATCAGCCTCCTCCCCACTCACGAGGGGGTACACCCCCAACTCCTCAACTCCGTCCCCACCTGCCTACATTCACACAGATATTTCTTAACTCGTATCTTCCAGTCTTTAGTTGATAACAGTAGAGATACTCTCTTTCTGATGTAACAACTTTCTTTCCACATTTTTCTTCCAATTAAGTTCACATAACAAAATAGTAACTTCCTTTTTTTAACCATATTTTGTATCATACATTGTACTTGTCACTTCACATAGCTATCATGTATGCCTCATGATGAACCTAGGGAAGACTCATTTTGCAGATAAGGACATGAAGCTTAGAGAGAAAAAGTAACCTGCCCAAGATTACCCAGGTAGCAAGTGGTAGATCTTGGATTCAAGTTCTGATATATGTGACTAGAAGATCTGAACTCTACTATTGCCATACACTCTAGTTTCATTGGCATGCAACTCGTACGGTTACACATGGCCCCTTATGCCTGGTTTAGTGCTCTCTGTCACTGTCCTGAAATTGTTAATAAATTTTTAAAAAGGAGCCCCACATTTTCATTTTGCACTGGGCCCCACAAATTAGGTAGCCAGTCCTTCTCCCCAATTCCTATTAAAAATAAAGGCCAGTCATCCTATTTCCTTTGGTAATCAAAACTCAAATTATCATTTAAGAAAAAGAATTCAAATTTAAAACAAATTTGTGAACTTGAAGATAGATCAAAATTACCCAATCTGGGGGCGCCTGGGTGGCTCAGTCGGTTGAGCGACTGCCTTCGGCTCAGGTCATGATCCCGGAGTCCTGGGATCGAGTCCCGCATCGGGCTTCCGGCTCGGCAGGGAGCCTGCTTCTCCCTCTGACCCTCCCCCCTCTCATGCTGTTTCTCTCTCGCTCGTTCTCTAATAAATAAATAAATAAAATCTTTAAAAAAAAAATTACCCAATCTGAAGAATAGAAAGAAAAAGACAAAAGAAAAGGAAGAAAAAGATGAAGAACAACAACAGAAATAATGTACAAAAATGTCTAAAATTTGGTAAAACATGCACACTTACAATTTAAATAAGTTCAATAACTTCACACAAGATAAATGAAAAGAATACCACACTCCTATATACAAGAGATAAACTTTATATCTAAAGATTGTAAATTGAAAGTAAGTGGATAGAAAGTGGATAGGAAAATATATACCATGCAAACAGCAAAACTAGGAAAGCAAGCTGGAGTAGCTATACTAATATCAGATGAATTAGACTTCGAGACAAAGACGGTTGCCAAAGCAAATAAAATAAATAAATAAAATCTTTAAAAAAAAAAAAAACTTCCTTTAAAATAGAATAGAATAGTCATTCCTTTTAAGAGAACATGTTCACCAAGAAAGATGATCTGGTTGGTCATAAAATAAGTCTCAACAAATTAAACAGTATAAAAATCATGCAGAGTATATTCTTTAATTACTATAAAATTAAATTAGAAATTAGTAACAATAAGATATTTAGAAAATCTAAAATTTAATTGGAAATTAAATAAGACACTTCTAAGTAATTTAGGGATCAGAAAAGAAATTATAAGAAAAATTAAAAATATCTAAAACTGACTGAAAATAAAGATAT